CTTAGTTCATACGGCTTGGCTATGGCTGTGCACCTCATGTACATGTATGGAAGCCACTGTCATCTGCAGCCATATCCCCCATGCTTTTGTGTCTTGATTGAGCCAAATTGGGACATGGTCTTACGCTTACACATACAGTTCTTCTTAGCCCCATAATTTGGCCCCATATGAAATCATGCCACAGCCACTTGCAGTAAAGATGACTGTGAAAGTACATGTAAACCAACGGTTTTTGACAAACGTGTAGTTTTTGTCCCCTTGGAAAAGACCACTGGTTGACACTTTTTGCTGCATCTCCTTAGCGGGACATTTCCAGCAGAAATTCACTATGTTTGTACACACTTTCATGAACAGAAGCTAATGGTAGAGATCAAATGTATAAGTTATGCTCCCAGAAGTCTGATATGCGTGTTGCTCATGCTTCATATTAGGGCCTTCAACTTGTCACCTGTAACGCACACGGAGACAGAAATACAATGTAAATAAACACTTCCACCTCGTAAGACGGTGCTGGGAAGGTACATGTATATGTCATTGTTGTTAGAAACTGGACAAAAAAGCATGCATCTCGAGAAAACAATTGGTAGACCTCCTCCCTCTTTTGACTGTGCACGGTTGTGAGGCCCAGGGTTTGGAGGCACTCTACTACTTGGGCATGCGCACCATTCATCCCACAGTGATGGTTTGGAAGTTTTGGAGCTCCAGTACCCTGTGCAATTAAACTTGTCTGTGTTGACAAAGAGGAGATTGATTGAGCTCACATTTTGAACAATATTTTGACGTATGACATAAATTCCACAAGCCTTTCTGTAATGAGAGGAATAAAAGGCTATACTACCGGTACGTCTAATTACTTGACTTTGGCTTGATAGACACGTACGAGTCTATGGCACTGGCGTACACATAGCTAGGATTTTAATGAGTAGGTGGGCACAAAGGGGCACCAGCTTTCAGCGGTGTGTTTTTTGGGGCAAATTTTTGTCAGCCTTGTTCAATATCCATTCTTCCGTTTTTTTTTTTCAGTGGGGGGGCACCTGGGGGCATCGGTAATTTGTGGGGGGCATGTGCCCCCCCACGGACCCCCACCCACCCCCCGTGGCTACGCCACTGGTCTATGTAGTGGTTGCAGCCCCTTCCCACTGAGTCGTGTAAATGTCGAAGCCACAGTCAATGTACATGTAGATGTGCATGTAGTTGTGTATACTCTGGGCACTGCATTACATGAATAAGCTGGTATACATGTACATGTATGCACAAGATACATTGTGCGTGTATCTCCACGCCATAAAAGATCAATATTAGTTACGGAAGTGACCTCTCCTGGCATGGCTGGTCTTGCAAGGAGGCTGTAGACTGTTCCACCTCTGACATCACATTTCAACCATTTCTGCATTTTGAAGACGGAAAAACTTCATAGGGTAGTCACACGTTCTGGGATGTCCAGGATCATTCAACCAAACGTTTTCATGTTCTCTTGCTAGTGGCCAAATGCGAGTTCTTTAATGCTGGCGGCAGCGTCAAGGATCGCATCGGACTGCGGATGGTGGAAGAAGCAGAGAGGAAAGGCATCTTGAAGCCTGGGTTCACATTGATTGAACCCACTTCAGGAAACACAGGTGATTTCTTTTAAGCAACTTGTATTTTACAATTTGGGAGAAGGATCCACTTGAATACACGAAATACATGTACATGTCCACGCATGAAGACTCTTATCTAATTGAAATCAGCGTTGTACATGTGTTTGAGTCTATCACAAGTCCCTACAAGTTCATCAAAAGTCCAACACAAGTCAGTCAGTCTTAAGCCAATTCACAAGCTATTCAAATTAGCTGTTACAAAGCATTCTGTTTTCGTTGTTCACCCTGTTACTTACAAGTGGCCTTGTGAAGGAACTTGTGACTGGACTTGTGAAGGGACTTGTGACTGGACTTGTGATTGACTCAAATACAACTCTGGTTGAAATGTTTACCTTACATGTACATGTAGGACATACATGTACATGCACCGTCAATCCTTCAAAATCCTCTAACTGCCCCCCCCCATGAAAAAAAAATTGAATACAACCTCAGTCTTCCAAAATCCTCTCCAACATTTCTTCCATATGTTCTGTGGAGGGGTGCCCACTGCCTCAATCCCTCAAAATCCTCCAGCAATTCGGAGAATTTCACGTATCAGTACTTGTACAGGGTGTCCCAGTAAAAACCAAACTCTGAGGAAAGGGGTTAATATGCCCAACCCATGAGATATGATTA